AAGGGTTGCCCTGTCTACCCATTAAACCTGAAGGCGAAGGCTGCCCTGGAAGTTTATGTCAAGGAAATTCTAGAGCGTGGGTTGATCTTTCTCTCCAAGTCTCCAGTGGTGTCACCTATACTCCTAATCCAAAAAGCAAGTGGCGAGCTTCACCCGTATGTGGATTATTGGCAGCTGAACACAATAACTGAGTCCTACCCCTACCCCATCCCACTAATGGAGACCATCTCTCAGATAATCTCAGATAGCCAGGTTTTCACCAAGTTGGACCTGGTTGATGCGTTCAACCAAGTTCCTGTAATTGCAGAACAACAACAGTATATGGCTTTCAAGTGCCACTTAGGGGTCTTTGAGTACAAGGTGATGCCTTTTGGTCTCAAGAACGCCCCAGCAGTATTCCAGCGTACCATAGACAACGCCCTAGGAAACCTAATTGGGAAATGTTGTGTGGCATATATGGATGATATACTTGTGTTCTCCAAGACCAAAGAGTATCACAAAGGTGATGTGCTGAGCGTGCTGGAGGCCCTCAATAAGGCTGACCTCCGCTTGAAGTCATTAAAATGTGAGTTCTACAAGGACTCTGTCTCCTTCTTGGAGAACGTAGTATTTCAAAAGGGAAAAGCCATATGCCCTGACAAGCTGAAGGCAGTGAGGGAGTGGCCGGCCCCTAAAGACAGAACAGGTTTTAGAAGCTTCCTGTGCGTGGTGAACTTCCTGAGAAGGTTTGAAAAGACCTCTCCAAGATGGCGGCATCCTTAATCCGTTTGACAGGGCAAGTGCCGCTCCATTGGGGAGAAGAGGAGGAGAAAGCCTTTCAAAAAATCAAGAAGAGCCTCATGAAGGCACCAGTACTAGTCCACCCTGACACCAACCGCCCTTTCATAGTGGAGACTGATGCCTCAAACTTTACGATTAGGGCAGTTCTGCAGCAAGAGGGGGAAGATGGGGTAGACCATCCTGTAAGATTTTTTAGCAGGAAAATGTTGCCCGCTGAGATTAAATACCCTGTGTATGACAAATATGATGTTAGCAATTTTATCAGCTTTGGAGGAATGGCAGCATCACTTACTCTATGCCAGACACCCTTTCACCATCAGAATGGACCACCGCGCCCTTGAATTTTACAAGAGTCCAAAATGCATGAACCAGCGTCAGGCCAGGTGGCACCTAGAGCTGGCGTCTTATGACTTCAGGATTGTGTACAAGCTGGGGGAGAGCAACTTCATCCCAGATCTCCTAAGCAGGAACCCATGAAAGTCCTTCCTGAGGGAGGAGCTGGATGCATACAACACAGCAACTATGTTGCCCTCGAATGTGTTTGCTGTCATCCAAAATGCCACCCATGAACTGGTGAACAAGCTCTGGGCCGCCCAGCGAAGCTCAAAGTATGGGGCCACACAGTGGAAGGACTTGGAGGAGGGGGTGAAGAATGAATAGCATAGGAATTTCTGCAAAAAGAAAGGCCTTATCCTCCACAAAGGGCGCCCATGGCTGACCAGCTGCAAGATCCAGGAGGAGGCAACAAGCGTTTTCCACGACCACCCCTTGGCAGGACACTATGGGAATGAGAAAACAATAGAGCTCTTGGCCTGGAGTTACTCCTGGCTGGGGATGCCAAGCGCCATGAGGGAGTAAATCCAAAAATATGTAACATGCACCCAGTCCAAGCATGCTAGGCAGAAGCCTTTGGGGAAACTCAAACCACTCCAGATTGCGGAAATGCCATGGTTCTCACTAAGTGTGGATTTCATAATGGGGTTTCCAAAATCTAAGGGGTACGATGCTGTGATGGTTGTAGTAGACAGAATGACCAAGTACGCGAAATTCTTTCCGTGTACCTTCAATATCACAGCAAAGGGCACGGCGGAGATCTTTATGAATGTGGTGTTTTCCCTCCACGGCCTACTGGAGGAGATAGTATTAAATAGAGGCCCACAATTCATTGCCCAATTCTGGCAACACCTACTCGAAAGTCTTCAGATCAAACCATGCAGATCCTCATCTTACCAACCTCAGTCAGATGGCCAGATGGAATGAGTCAATCAAGTCCTCGAGCAGTATCTGTGGTGCTACATGACCACACAACAGGAATGCTGGATGGATTGGCTAAAACTAGCCCAATTCTCTTGCAAAAACTTAACACAATCATCAACAGGAATGTCGCCCTTCATGGCAAGCTATGGGTTCCACCCAAAGATGGTGGAAAACAACCCCAGAGGTCCAAAACCAGTGGCAAATGACCTGGCATCCAAAATATGGGAAAACCTAAAAGTCATATGTGTGAATTTAAAAGTGATAGAGGCACAGAAGAAGAAGGCCAACACTCACCAATCTGAGGCCCCGGTGCTAAAGGAAGGAGATCTAGTGATGATCAACGTGAAGAATTATTTGGTTCCTGCAAGCTGCAGGAAATTTGTACCAGTCGCCCTGGGCCCATTCAGGGTCCTCCACTAGGTAAATGAAGTGACGTATAAACTGGAGTTTCCTGAGGGATCTCATGTGCTTCTGATACTGCATGTCTCACAACTGAAGAAGTTTGAAGGCCGTCTTCCAGAGAAACTGGAGCCAGTCCACTTGGGAAATCCAGGAGAGGCTGAGTATGAGGTGGAGGAAATCCTGGACATTAAAATCTCTCAGAGAAAACGTTGGTATCTAGTCAAACGGGTAGGTTATCCAGTGGAAGAGTCCACCTGGAAGACTGCTGACAACTGCAGCAACTGCCTGCAGAAGGTGGAGGAGTTCTGGAATCAGAGGAGGCTCTCATCTGAGGGTGATGTAACAGTCAAGGCGTTGCCTGACCATCACATTGCCCTAATCTTCCCTAGGGCAATGATTGAGGCCAAGGGAGAGGGGCATGATAGCTACAATCTTTGTAAATGGCAATCTGATGAATCAGATGCCTTGAAATCAAAGCTAAATAAAAATTGTGAGGCTGATGATAAAGGAAAGCCTCAAAAATGGTGCTCTGGCCAACCAGATGCTGCCAAATGAAATATTACCAAAAAGGGCTACAAGGATAACCCTCATAAATGGCTCTCCAGCCAATCAGATGCTGCTAAACCGCTGTTGGCAATATTGAGAAATATGGGTGAAGAGATTGGCCTGGGCTTCAAGAACTATTTGAAGCTGAATAAATGCAGAAAAGTTTCTGCAACTGTGAGGGTACTCAGTCCTAGTTCTGGAGTGGGTCTCAACAAGGAAATTGAGGGTCTAAATCCTCAGGTTATGCCTGTCATTGAGAAATATACCCGCAGACTCCGCGGAGAACAATACCCACTCTTCTCCCTAAGCTCAGTATAAATCTGAGCTGACAAAACTGCTTCCCACAGTTTTGTCTTATATAATCTTTAATAAACTTAATAAATTTAAAATAAATTTTTGAAATTGGAAATCAGTTTATTGAGGCCTTAAGGGAAACTGTACATGGACCACAGCTTGGACTTTGACAAGACCATTGAGTCTTTATATGCTCTTTCTGGGGGTCAAACCCTCATGCTGAGCGCCAGTATAGTCCTGACTGTGGCGCAAACTTTCATAGTAAAGTGCTTCCCACATAGTAGGATTAGGGACATTTTCACAGCAGTATTATCCTGCCTGTGGGAACTTACCTGATCACTCATGCCTAACTGCTTTGTGGCAGTGTTCAGAGACATTATCCGTCACACTAAGTTGCTAAAATAACTATATAAACCTTAATTTTATTTATAATTTATAGTGAAAATTTGATTTAGAGCTTCAATCTTTCTCTCCATTAAATTAAAAATGGTGAGTTATAATATAAGCTAAATTATGGTTGCATAATTTTATATTAAGTATACTGCAGATAAATTATAATGTTTGTATCATTTTTTTATTAAATACTATTATAATAGTTTTGAGATAGTTTAAGTCATTAATGGCTTACTACAATATCTATTTACTAATAAATTATTTTTTTACGGTTATTGTCAATATTTAGTCAATTTTATATAAATTAAAAAAAATCATAAAGCTGCTACTCAAAAAACTGTAAGGTTTGAATATATTTGTATAAACATATTCAAGGCAAAATTAGTAATATAATACTGTAGATCCATAGTTTAGAACGAAGAAGTTTTCTTGATATATATTTAATAAAATTTGTATACCAGGTAATACTAGTAGTTAGATTATATAAGATGTTAGGTTCTATTATCACTTTATAAGATTATTATGTAAGAAACCCTTATAATTTATTCAAAAGATAATTTATTAGGGGCTACCTGAGCCATGAAAAGTATAGTTGTAAAATGGTAATTACTAAAAGAATTAAAATTATTTATATGGGTCTATGACTATTAATTATTAGAAAGTGTTCAATAATGCAACAGTTTATCTTGCCTTAATATCTATCTGAGAGTGTTTAACTCATGATAATATCATTTAGGACAAAATCCAATATTGATTTGCCATCTTATAATTTTATTTAATATATTAATTTAAATAATAAACAAAGATCAAAATGTTAAATTTACTCAAGGTATGTTGACCTTGGGACAAATTGACCTTTAAAAAGTGGGGAATGGGAAAAATGGAACCAATCTAAAACCAATGGCTAAGCACTTTTAACAATAGTTTTTTTCCTCTGATCAGTTTATGCAATCTTTTTTTGGGATACTCCACCCAGCCCCATAGGACTATAGAGGTCTTTTATAATATCATTTCTGATAATATTATTTAGGCATACCATCCAGAAAATGTAGGCAAGATGTAATGTTTAGGCGCCCCTATAGTACATTCTTGAACAAAAATATTGGTACTTCATTATATAAGATTAGTGAAAAATTTTAATAGATAGAAAAAATGATATAAAAAAGTAAACGAGGCAGGTAGACCTTGGGACAAATATTATATATATATATGATATTAAGTTATGTGAGATCTGTATGTAGATATATGGTCAAGATGTAATAATTAGAAGCCCAGTTAATTACTTTTTTGATTTGTGCTATGTATATAAAATATATTAAATTCTAATACTGATTGTAGCACAGTCGAAAGAGTGAAGGACTGTAATTTAAAAGTAATCCTTAGGTCCCTGGTTTGATCCTAGGCAATTAGATTTTTATATCCTAATACATTTTAGTGGGCTTCAAATTAATTTATCTTCTACAATAGCAGTACCAACGTATAATTTTACATTAATGTAATAACAGTTTACTAAATTAAGGTTTAATGCCATTAGAAAAATATATTTAGGTTTATTGACTTCTATACTTGTAAGATAGATAACCTGACATTTATTTTATGCTTTAATTGACTCATATACAATCTAATTTAACTATTTTTTTTAGTATTAGATGGTCCCAACATCTAATTTGACTATTAACTGTCAGAGTTGCAAATAGACCTTCTGATAAAATGACTGTAAATGATAATGTGTATTTAAGAGTTCTTTTTAACTCTTTTTAAATAGCATTTATAATATATAATCCAAGTTACAGTGCTGATTATTTGATCATCTAGATTTCATAGTACTAATAAACTAGTTTAACTTATAATTTGTTTGATGTGGGTCAAACTTAAGATAGATATACCACACCAAATTTGGGATACTGAGGTGAAAGTATAGGAATAGATGTGAACCCCAATTATCAGGGGTAAAACTTTACTGCCTGTGATCTGATAGGCCATGATTAGTTGATCTAACTTCACTAATTTTTTTGGATGGATAGAGGCATGGTGCATGAGCCTGTATTTTTGATACCCCCACAAACTACAGAAATATTTAATTTCTGACATAAGAAGATTCAAGACCGCATTGGAGTGCTAGTAGAACACCTTACCACTAGGTTTTTTTTAAAATATTCAACAATAGTAAGTATCATCCTTCCTGACAACCACCCCAGTCTCCCTTTATATACACTCCATATTATTAATTATTGATGATAATAGGATAGAGAAAAAATGATTTTTGTTCTATCCAGAGAAAGTTTAGAACCTGATATAACATTTTATAACCCTCCTTAGCTTTTGGTTACAGGCATATACAACTAATTTCTTTTTTTATAAAATAAGACTAGCAGTAGCAAGAACCACTCCACATGACAGCAAACAAAATCTCCCTTTTTATAAGCTCAATATTATTGACGGTATAATGGTATGAGGAGTGAAAGAGATGGTTTATCCTATCCAGAGATAGATTTAAATTTTTATAGCATTTTAGTACCCCACTTTAGCTTGTGGTTACAAGTGTATGCAACTACTTTTCTATCTATTTATAAAAGAATATTTAGCAGTAGCAGGAACCACCCTTCCCAAAACCATCCCAATTTTCTATTTTGTACATTCCATATTATATAATTGAATAATGATAATAGGGAAGGGAAGAAATGGTGTTTGTCCTAACCAGAACAAGTTTTGAACCTTTTATAGCATTTAGTCCCCCATCTTAGCTTGTGGTTACAGATGTGAACAACTATACCTGATACAGATGCATGTCAAGCTTTGCACTGGTGAGAGTGAAGCCTTGACTTAAGGTTTTCACATTGGTTTACCACTCAAATATTTCTATTATTTTATCAATTATGTAATATGCCATTAGACCTGTTTTATGTAGTTTGAAATCTATATTATTCTTTAAACTATTAGTCACAAAGAGATTTTTGTAAATTATGACTAATTTATAAAAATGAAACAAATAACAAATTGAGTATGAAATAGCAATCTAAGTGATCTACATGATGATATTATGCAAGCTTATCAGTACTTGGATTATCCCCTATTATAACATCGGCTGTTTGGTCTTCCCTTATTTATCTATAGTGTGTAATTATAAAATTTATTCATTTTTAGATCTACATCTCTCCTTTCACCCTTGATTTAGATAGTGCTATAAATAGTACTAAATGGTGTTTTAATAGAATACTAACTATATAAATCTTTTAATGTCACTCTTGTGCATTGACCTATGCAGATCATTGGCAAGTCTTTAGCTTCAATGTCTGATTTTAGATGTTGAGCAAGCCAAAATCCCTAATCCTGAATAAAGCCTTGATCAATCAATTATTGAACCAGTATGAACAAAACCTTATCTTGAAGATACTGAAACTAGATTCAATCTGGAAGCATCATGCATTTGAGAATCAATGAATCACCTTAAGGAATCCCATCCCCACTTCCCAGATAACAAGAGGTGCAGCTCCCACCGCTTCAGTCATGAGGATGATTAAGTACAATGAGGGAACCATCCAAACAGTTGATCTGGAAGGCAGTAAAAGATCCTGATCTCGCGGGGTCACAAAGGTCCCAAAGGCACCATGCCCCCACATGCCCTATAGATATCAGAGCTTTCTAACACAATAAAGTAGTTTATATTCCTTCCATCTTTTCATTTTTTGACCTCTCCACTAATTTTCAGCTTTGCGCCCATTTTTAGACTTCAGCAACAGTCAAGAGAACTGTTACATTTAGATAAATGGTGCTCACTACAGGGAGCTAATAGATGTCCTAAGTAAAAACTTATATCACAAATAATAGAGAATACTAGCAGTTTTAAAATACCAATATGCTGATCAGTCAAGAAGCGTTGCTTGATGGATTAGTACCTTGCAGTATGAAGTGCCACCCATGCAGACTAAGAGTCTAGAATTCCAGGCCACATCCCAGTTCTCCCTGCCCTCAGTTGATGGAAGTTTGTACCAACTTCAGTATGAGAACCTTAACAATATTGTCTAGCAATTAATAGATGGCATCTACTCCATGGGTGCCCGCTCCAGCTGTTCCCATGCCTCTTCCATGCCCTCTACCATGCGGGATCTCTATATCTTGGCACAGCTGCCAGCAGTAAATCTTACCCTGGGACCTGAATGATACCAACTAAATTTTGTTCACCTGCCTATTCATCAATTTCTCCAGTTAGTTGGGTTGCACCATCATGAAGTCTCCTGACAACTGGGGCTCACACAGGCCTTACTCTCCCTTGTCATCAATTTCTATAACGCACCCTACTCTTTTGTCCACAACAACTGCAAGGCCATTATTGATAACCAATAATTAATCAATGAGGCCCAAGGCCAAATTGTGGTGTTGGATAGAAGGACCTCTGGCTATCTTGAGGACAAGCTGTGTCATAACATCCAACTCTTGAAGCTACCTGGAAACAGCGCCTTCTCCAAGTTGAGGATATAGATTGACCCTGAAACAGCACTATTATGAGCTGGCCTCTAGTGACTACACTACAGGAGTGAAGGTCCTGAAGGGCCTAGGAATCCTTAAAGCTCCAAAGGACAAGAGGGACCCAAAGGACCAAAAGGTCCCTGGGGACCTCAAGGGCCCTCATCCTGCAGCACCTACTGCCAAAAGCTCTGACAACCCTTGGCAAAAGGATGTGCTAGCAGTCTTGGCTGCCTTATGTGATCAAATTTGGAATGTAGTTCAAGGGTGAAAACTCTGAGTGGATGGAGTCCTCCTTGACCCTAGGGGTCTCCATTGTGGCATTGTTAACAAAATGAACAACTTCAATGCCTTCACCAAGCTTACTTATAGCCGCATCTTTTAGATTGAACAAAAGTGTCAAGAGTTCAAAACCCATTTGACCACCCTTGAGAGTCAGCTTCACATTCAGGGCGCCAACATTTAATCCCTAAAAGAGCAGGGCACAAATAAGGCTTCCATTTTCTCCCTCAACCAAAACTGGAACAATATCTAAGAGGAACTTGAAGGCCTACAGTGATGGTTAGACCAACAGGTCCCCCGTGAGTATGCAGAGACTGAGATCTCTGAGCTGGCACCCATCCATGGCATTAACACCCTCTACACTCTCTTATAATTAACTTTAAACCTAGTCTTAAAGAAAGGCTCACCCCTGGCCAGGAGGTTATTGCCTCCATATTTTATGCATATGAGAGTTCTATGAGGGAGGCCATTAACCAGTAGAAAGTGAAGAATATCCACTCCTGCCTCAAAAGCACTGCCTGGGAGATCATGACCCCCATTTAAAAATACCTGAGAACAGGTCTATATAATTTTATTCCAAGAATTTGGAAGCAATCAAACCCTGCCAAACAAAAACAAGCATTCATGGGTATCCACCTGAATAAAAGAGAAAGGCCCATGGAGTTCGCCTGTCAGACTTTGCCTCCCAGGCCTCAGAAAAAGAATGTTGTAGGTGAAAATTGGCCAAATAGTGGGAATATCGGACATTTAAGAGTTTGTGATAAACCAAAAAGTGATTTGAATGAAAAGTTGATAATTTTGAGGATATCAGCCAAAATACCCTGGCTAATTCTTTGTAAAACCCCGTTAATTGGGGTAACACCATTTCAACACCTGCATGGGCAACTAACATAAAATTAAGCAGTCAGATTACTCTGTGCACAAAATGGACCATGGGCAACCATTGGAAGGTATGTCCCCAACCACAACTAGGTCCCTCCAAACACCTACGTGGGGACCACCCCCTTTTAAAGGCATGGCAGAGGTCCCCCTAAGGTGAAAGTATTTTAGCAAGTGGTGATTGGCCAAAATACATCATAACATTACTGCATGGGTGCATCATTCCCCAAATCCCTATCCCCAACATTGGTTCACCAAAACGTAACGCTAAAATCCTAAGATCTGATAGGAGCGTTTCTTATATTTTCTAATTCAGAATGCGTCAAAGCTATTCCAAAGCTATTCTTGAATTCCTTGACTCACAAAACAGTTTAAATACTGATTGGTTGGATATTGAAATGGATTGACTCTCTTTTGCCCCCACACAGCACCTATTAAAACCTTTAATTTGAATTTTTATTATTATTATTATTTCCCTATAAGTGGTGAAAGACTCTCCTGAATTGTATTATTGGATTTAAGGCAGCAAGCACCAGCAAGCCATTTTCCAAGCCAAAAATTTTACAAGTGGTGCTCATTACAGCGGTGCCTGTATGCCACAAAAACGATGGAAATGAACCCCCAGCTAGCCTCCATTGAGTTACAGCTAGCTAGTGCTTGGTATCGCCTTAAACAGCTTGTGCAGCACATACTATAATGCCCTAGTATAAGAAAACCCCTCTGCGAGACAAGTTCATACATGGTGAGGGAAGTAATGCCTCCTTCCTATATGTGTATGAATCTATG